TCTGAGGGGTGTGTAGCCTTCTCTGGGTAGAGGATGGCTTCTATTCATCGTCTGCGATGATTGTAGAGCTGCCCTCTCTGCGTTGATAGCGATATGGTCCAGGGATCGCTCATCTGCCGCCCTCGGACTGCGTGCTGTATCTCTGGGATGATCAGCAACGGCTCATCATGAAGTCATCTCACTGCCATCGGGACGATGTCTGTGATGCTTCATTCTGCGTAGAGGATGGCTTCTTCTTCTACGTCTGCGTTGAGGGGTTGTCCGATGTAGAAGCCAACGTCTTCGAAGTAATGGCGGACAACATCCCACGCCGATCCTCCGAGGACACCTCCGGCAGGTCACTTGATGGTAGTAAGTCGTCTAACAGCAGTAGACAGCTCGTGAGGGACTCAGCCAGTTTATCCATGACTAAGAAAGTCACCTGGATTTGTCGGTAGTACGTCTAAGTACAGAGAAAAATTATTTATTAAACTGAATTTCTATTAAATGCTGATAAAGATTACAGCTATAGCTGGAAGTACATGTTGTTGTGCAGCTAGGGCACAGTCAATGCGGGTTTGCAGCAGTGAACCTAAACCTACAACGAAAATAGGTTTTCATGAAATGTAAACAACTGAACAAACACGGACAATTCCGTGAATAAACAGTGCTAAATACGATTAAATATCAAACCATATTGTTGAAGAATACTAACTAAACCTCTATAAAAGTAGAATAGAGGAGAATAACTAAGTAATAAAAGGATATAGTGCCGTATAGGAGACACAGGCGCTCTCACAACCTGCCCACAGGGCGAAGAAGGAGAGAGTGAAGCGTGGGAGTACGGTGGCGCCGCTTTCCCACCAAAACGGCCACACAGATAACTCGTGGTGAGTAGGGATTTTACGTCTGTTCTTTATTGAAGGGAGCTTCAATAGGAGATACAAGTGTTCCACTAACGTTCGCAAGAGGAAGGAGACAAGCAAAAGAGCATGAGTCAGGATAAGGAAAAATAACAAAATTCACAAATCAGTACAAATTAAGTACAACCTACCATATGACAGTACAAAGAGAGGCAATACATATTCAGAGGCAGCATAATACAAGAGCACTGATTATAGCAATTAACACAATGATGGGATATTCATCTCTCAGCAAAGTAGTCCAACTTGAAACTAAGACTAGACAGGGTATGTGATCATCACACAATGGTGGCCTTCTGGTGACTGGGGATGTAAAGGGAGATGAGAAACAATAACTCACTCTGCTTATAATGCCAAGGAATGGCTTGGAAAATTCCACAATAGTCTCAGATGATTGTAGAACATGGGCGGATCCAGGAATTTTGAAGGGGTGGTGGGTGGTGGTGGTTCAGGGGTTCGATGAACCCCCCCTTGGATCCGCCCATGTAGAAAGTATGCAAAGGGTGACACATCATGGTATCTTACAGGCCACATTAGGAAAGGTGACTCATGGATGAAGAGAACTCTTCTCCACTCACATGCTCCCCGTCACAAGTGTTGTCTGTTCTACAGAAGACATCGACATCAGTGTTCTTGCAACAGAATTGGTTGCTGGGCTGGATGCATGGATGCGACACATAGGTGCAGTACAAATATTGTCACATATAAACCTCTGTTGCCAGATATGACACAGGCTGTATGGGTAGCTGGTTGGAACCTGTGTGGGAGGTGCACGGTTCAAAGCCATCGGTCTTGACATGAAGTCGTTACCGGTAGGGGGCCATTTCGGGGACAGTCTTTAACTTGATTGTTTGGCTGAAAATGTCATCATTATTGCCAAATGGTGTTTCTATGGACGTTAAATCAACAAGCAACGCCACACTGCGAGATACCAGACTGAAGTCACAATAACTTTTGCCTGAGTATATGTACACAATACCTTAAAATAACTGAACCAATTCATGTCAGCTGACTGCAGGTTAGTGTCAGACTCAGATGTCAAAGGATTCATATCTTAAGATTCCAGATATTTCAGAACTGTTTAAATAACATCTAATTGTATCAAATGTTGTGGTCCACCCAGACTTACATTGTAGTAGGATTGGTCAACTTACATAAGCCTGTATACATGTACGATAGTTGCTCTTGCCTACCTTGGAATATGCTCAGTCCCTGGCAAGTCTTTGTTCTCTCATCATTAAGGTATGTGTTTGTTAGCTACTGATCTAGCAATGAGCTATATATGTCTTTATATGCTTTCGAACTGTCTCTTGTTCTACCTGGCTATGAGCAAATGAGTATTGTTCTGGATACTCAGAGATTTTCATAACAGATAGGAAGTGAGCGGTGAACAGTAGTCCAGTCATATAGTGGCAGCCTGTAAATAATCTATTCTGAGCCAACACAATTCCTGCATCAGTGTACATCAGCTACTATTAGCAAAGTCACCAGAGCTGACCACCCAATCCATTATGGTGTCTGTTTCAACCCACAATGCCCATCGGAGAGAAAGGATAAGGATTAAAACATCTGAATTTTCTTGCACTTATATTTTACTCTGGAGTCATTTTATTGTTAAATGCCAGAAATTTGATTATCTGAAGAGAAGACCTTCAGACCAGTGGTGCTTAGTTTGCACATCCATAGAGCATACATACACTTCATACTAGTGTTCAATTTATGTGATATCACATATACTATTATCAGAGAAGTTGTTGCACAGTTTTCATTTGAGGTTAAAACATGAATTGAACTGAAACAACTTAAACATGTTAAAGCTGCGATTTACAAGGCACATCTAATATACAACACTAAATGATGTGACTTTCCTGTGATCAAAAGGATAAAGAAGAAAAAGGAATAGGTTTGTGAAGGTCATGTCCCTCATCATGCACATAATATTTGCTTTATTTTGACTTAACTGCTAAAGATCTTTTTTGGAAAACATTTCTGTTCATATCTTGAGAAAGAAATAATCTCAAACATATTTACTGTGTGTTCACCTCTAAATTAAAACTGTTTTTGTGAGGTTCTTTCTTTGCATGTGCACAAGTAATTTTCTTAAAGAATACTGGAAAATTGCAGTAACTGACTGGGTTACAGATAAAGTCATCAGAAACATGTACCCCAATTTCTAATGCAGAAGTATGATTATTTTTATTTTAATCATGAAAACAGTTTCTGCTTTCTCAGCTTTAGTCATTATGCATATTCCGCCAGCAAGTCCGTGAACCCACGTGACCTTTCACACTCGTGACATCATATGTGATTTAGGTCTGCCATAATGCATAAGACCAAGCGCTACAGTAATGTAAACCGCTTTTTTCTGTCATTTTTGGCAATTGATAAGATGGGGTATTGTGTTGCCTGGGGTTGCACGGCATCATCAGACAGTGGAAATAGGCACCACGGTGAGGTAAATAGTTTTGGCACCAGTTTTCAAACGACATGACCGTTACCATAGACCTTGATTTCTTACAAAAATAATTCATGCCCTTTTCATAATATTGCATCTATACTACATTATTACATGTTACAACTTACTGTCAGTGGTATGTTTTAACATTGATCAAATCAAGTCCAGTTGTGAAGAAACATGTATTATTAAAATCAGTAAGAGAATTCCCATGAGCTTGAAAATATTCCATTTGTTCCGGTTTGGAGCCCCAAATACTGCAGCCTACCCGAAAAAGACATTATCTAAAATACAACTGCAAAGTATAAAGTACCTGTTACATTAATTGTGTTTCATTTTGTCGAATTACGCGGCATCAGACTCAGACATTTTTCAGTATTTGTTCTGTATTCTCAATGGCTGACCTGATGTCATTCTAAGGTTACGACCTATTTCCATAATGAGTGAGTAAGATAAGCTTTCGCCGCACTCAGCAATATTCCATCTACATGGCGGTGGTCTGTAAATAATCGAGACTGGACCAGACAATCCAGTGATCAACAGCATGAGCATCGACCTGCGCAATTGGGGACCAATGACATGTGTCAACCAAGCCAGCGAGCCTGACCACCCGATCCCGTTAGTCGCCTCTTACGACAAGCATGGGTTACTGAAGGTTCATTCTAACCCGGACCTTCACGGGTACTATTTCCATAAGCTAAAACTAGGAAAACATACATTGTCCAGACTAGAATTTTAGAATTCATCCGTTTTGGGGTCTACATCGCTTATATTATCTCTGCTCAACCAGGCTGGGGTCTTGTGCGGAGACAAGATAATTTATTGATGAGAACTTGGGTCCTATTTTTTTTTCAATGAAATAGTTCCTTGCAACAGTGTAATTTTTGTAGCAGACAATTTCTATTTTCCCTCATCTGAAGCATAATAATTGTTTAAAAGATTTTCTGGGGCAATCAATTTGGGCTTTTTTAAAAAAAAAACCATCCCAGACTCCCTGCAGTCACCAGTTTAACACAAAAGGAACTGTAATCACATTTTAAAAAATAATTTTTACTTAAGGGTTGGTGATTTATAATTTGGGTGGGTGTGGCTGGTTGGAACTGTATCACAGTTTGTTGACAAATAAAATTGCTCTTAAAGTATATAGTCCATTTTAAAAATTATACGACATCAAGTGGTGCCTCTGTTTTGCTTGACGTAAAAGCTTGATTTGATACTGTGTAACACCCATGTAAAAAGTGACATCAGAAACATCTTTTACTGCTTCAGAACTTCAGAATTGTCCATGGTCAATGCCATGTCATATGGTACCTGGCTTCTTCTCACTAACTGTCGAGTGTTTCCGTATAAGTTCAGAGAGAGAGAGAGAGAGAGATGCTCTTCAGGGAAGTGTGTGTGTATAAAGCCACCTCAGTAAAGCTATATTATGGCAGTCTATAAATACTCAAGTCTGAAGGTGACAATCCAGTCATTTACATCATGAGCACTGTCATACACAACAGAGACATCATGACATGCATGGTCCAAGTTTGTGAGTGTGACATGAAAGCATAGGACAGTATATTAGATCCTGGACAAAGAGTCCTCCTTCCATTTAATCATGATACGAAAGTTTATAAATTTTGAATTGTGTTTCAGCCTACCTCCTTTTGCACCAACATTTGGGCTAGCTTTCGCCAAAATTATCACTAGTACAATGCCTATGAGGAACCAGTTCTGAATAACCGATCTTAACAGTGACATTATCCAGGAACATCCGGTTTTCTGTTTTTAGCACTTTTCATACTGATAACAGAGCTATCTAAATATATCTTCCATATGTAAGTGAATGCGAACTTGACAGCTGCCCAGAACAGGAAGTACACATGACCGTGTCGGAAGTAAGAGAATTCGCCTTGCAAAACATAGTCCCGACGTTGTACTTCAAACAGATCTTTATTCGATGAGATTATGTTAGGTCACATGTACCACTCCAAAAATGCTCGGTGTTAATGCTAACCAAGTTGTCACATTATGCAGATACTCCGTAATACTACGAAAACCTGTACTATTTTTATGTACTAATTTCTTTGTTTACATTTAATGGCGGCTACGATGAATGCAAGACGGGACAAGCCCGCAACAATTTCGTTCACACTGCCCATTTCATGTCAAATATGTCTCGGCAAGGTATTTGCATTTCTATGTTTGATATTTCATGTTATGAGAATCGATACACAAGATTGTCATTTTTAAGACTACCTGTCACGAGGAGTACGTACTTCTTTAAAGTTTAATACACTGAAATTGGCAGTGTGAAGAATTTGCATTGGTGTGACAGTGTCCGAAAACATAATTGACTTTGTCAGTTTGCCCTTTCCCAAGTTAAATTGTATACTACTAAGTTCTTTGAAGTTGAACAATGTAACAAGAAGTTTACAGATTCAGTAATTGGACAACTAATGTGTTGTCATGAAAAATGAAACACCAAATTAAACTTCTTTGATTGGCATTCAAGAAGATGGATAGATAAAAAGAATGAGGACTATTTTTATGGATATACAACTTCTTTATTCTGTATAGGCGATGTTTCGACATAGATCCTAATGTCGTTGTCACTACTTGCTATGTCGAAATGTCACCTACACACAATAACGAAGTTGTATATCCATAAAATAGTCCTCATTCTTCATCAAATTAAACTTTAGGAAGTATTTTTCTTATTGTTATGTTTGTTAATGAAGACGTAACCAACTGATGGAGCTTCTCACTCGTAAAACTGTATACATGGTAAAGTAAGCCACATATGATTACAATAAATAATTGATTGAATACTAAGATCCATTTGTAGATCTGCAATTTGTGAGCAATAACTGGCACTAATGTCAAATCATATATATTTTCTTTGGGTGCAGATTTGCTTTTTGGAGTGTGAGTCATCTAGTTGATCCTGTATGAGTTATCCAGTATCTGGATATTTTGTTGTAGGTGAAGCAGCCTGTGCTGTGTCCAAACAACCATGTTTTCTGCTCACCATGTATGGATGTCTGGCTGCAGAGAATCCAGCAGTGTCCTGCCTGCCGAACTCCAGTGGACTCCAGTAACCCCATCAAACATATCAAAGGTGCAGTTTGTATCTAACATAGCCATAATACTTTCAAATTATTTGATCAGCATGCTATAAATTCTGGTTTCTTGCATAGAGCAATGATGCTCTATGCTATAAACAATAATACAGTTAAATGCTTCAGTTTTGATAACTGTTAGTTAATTCATAAAGACTTCATATGTAAACCATGTAAACAATTAGTGTTACAGGGGTACAGATAAGCTGCGTATCTGCATAAATTATGCAAATATTTATGTGAAAACTCAATTCCTATTAAGTCTATTGTGTACAAGTACGCTTGAATTTTTGTAAATACTCAATAAATTTGATCTTACATGCATACACACAAAAATGTCAATCAGAGGACAAGCTGCATGCTTCTCAGGAGCTATTAGTGTCCAGATATGGTAGCAGCAGGGGTGTGTTTGGGCGAACGGTTTCAGGAGAGGCCAAACCTCTGTTTACAGTTCGTTTCCACTCAGCTGTCAAAAACACATAAGAGAGCGTACAAGACATGAGATAGGATAAATATTATAGATATACAATTTATAGTTAAAATTTTCAATATCTATTTGTTTTACCATACATCTTAGGAAATGCAAATCTGGGGCTAAAATACACTATATGTGTATGATGTTTTTCATCAAATAGAGTAACACAGCAACTTATGTGGCAGCAGCCTTAGGGACAATTAAATGATGTGACGCGGGTCTTTTGTAATTAAGCAGGTAGGATAGAAATAATTATGGTCTGTGATGTGTGTAACATAACAATTCATTTTCAGGGTAGTGGCAGATATTTTGAAAGTTACCATGGTAACTGAAATGTATTTCATGTTAGAATGTGTCGTCATGGTCATGGCAAACACAAGCAAACCCACATTTTTAAACTTATCCTATCTCACTGTATGCACCTCTCCTCTTCTTCTATGACCATGTGTGGAAACATACTGTAGGCTAAGTTGAATCAAATCTTACTGGCCTCTGACCACCTGACCTCTGCCCCCACTCCGATATCATATCATCTCAATAAGTGTGCAGATCGCTCAGATGATCACGTGACGTCCTGTGCCTGTCATTCTCTTTCTTGTCACTACGTCATGTGGACGTGTGCTTTTCTCAGAGAGTTTTGATTGTGTTTCAACATGGGTAGATCGAATCGTAATGTTTCTAAGAAGCGCAAACATTGTGACAGTTGTAACAGTAACTTATCCGTGGCAGATCCACATGCATTATGTGTGGATTGCTTAGGTCGTTGTGATTGGTCTTGTCGCTGCACTTTTTGTGCTGATCTCGACGACGATGCTTTTCCTGAATATCCCCGGGTAGCTTGTAGAAGCATGTCAGATAGGGACCGTTGTAAAACATCTGAGGGTCTGTCTTCGTCTAAACGCCCTAAGACAGAACGCCGTAAGAAAACAGCAGTTCGACGTTCGAAGTCCCCATCTCCCAAGAGGATTTCCTAGATGAGGCGTCTGATTCCTACCTCAGTGAAAATCTTCGTTGATTTTGCTGTCCGCATTTGCTATCCGATTTGCTATCTAGTTTTGATATGAAGCCAGGTGATTTTGGTTCTATCACCTTTCCGCCTCGTCCTTGCATCACTCAACTGGCAGCGTCTCTCTTGATGAGGCTTTTGATTACCTGAGGAAGGTTAAGGATGGGTTCGCGGCTCCCCCGCTTCAATTTAGCATCTTCTCATGTTCATGGTTTCTCTACGCTGATCGTCTCCCCTCCTGTGGATGATGACATTGTGTTGTTGGGGTCCAAACAGAGAGCCTACTCGCCATTTCTGGTCGAGGATCGTGAGCTATTGCATTTGGATGGTGTCATTAGGAAGATTATGGCACCCCTCAACAAGGTTTTGACGACGACTGAGGCGGTGGCTATGTCGGTGTCACATGCGACTTCCCATCAACAGGTGTATATTTGGGCGGCGATGGTGCTCTTACAAGAACAGTTTCAGACCATCTTGGATCAGTTGGCCCATTTTTTCTCCGACGTCACAGCGATGCGATGCAGGGGACCCCTTCACTTATCCTCATGGGAGGATAGGTTCCGAACTGACCTTTTCCGCCAACCGTGGTCTGGCAGGTCACTCTTCAACGGGGCTATTAGAGATGTAGCCACCAGAGTCGGTCAAGATGCTCATTTACAGGTTGTTGAAATTCCAACGATTGCAGGTAGAGGACTCGTTGCGTCAACGACGGCCAGCCCGTTATGTACCTTCCAACCCGGACCTTCGTTCGGGATCTGCTGCTTCCTTTCGTGGAAAGGGTTCGTCCAGAGGACGTTTCAGCCGTCAGCGATGGGCATTCACTGCTTCACGGCCAACTTCCTCTCCGACCAGTCCTCCTCTCAAAGGCCTGAGAAACAGTGACTTGCAGACATTAGAGCTCGACTGGGTCCTTCTGCCCAAGTCATGCCCATCCAGACTTCCCCAGTAGGCGGAAGACTTGGGATTTATGCTCCCAATTGGACCATCTTGGACGACCCTTTCGTCCTCTCCACTTTGTCCAAGGAGTTTCAGCTTCCGATCATCGGCAGTCCTCCTCTAACTTTACTTCCGGATCACAGAACGTATCCCGCTCAGCAAACGGCTGTTCTACGATCCACGATAAACACCTTACTCCAGAAACTTGCGATCGAATCCCTGGGCCCGGCCCCGGTCGCCCGGGATTTTACTCTCCAATGTTTCTGGTTCCCAAGAAGGATTCGGACAAGTTGAGACTAATATTCAACATGAAGGTCTTCAACGAGATGTTTCTGCAGCCTCCGCCCCATTTTTGAATGGTGTCGGTGGCCCTACTCAAGACTATTATCAAACCAGGAGACAACATGGTCAGCCTCGACCTACAGGATGCGTACCTTCGCATCCCGATCTTCCCGGCCCATCGCAAGTTCCTTTTGTTTGTCTTCGAGGGGCACCCACTATCAGTGGTGTGTCCTCCCGTTTGGAATTTCTTCGGCCCCGTGGCTGTTTACAAGGGTGACGAAGTCTATCACCAGTTTCCTCCATCGCAAGGGGATAGTTTTCAAGGCTTACATCGACGACTGCATTCAGGCGCAGACCGATCATGCCCTTCTACTTCGTCACCAATTAGGTCAATCTGCAGAAGTCGGAACTAGCCCCTACTTGCCGTCTTCAATTCATTGGAGCAGTGTTCGATACAGAGGTCAACAAACTGTTTGTCCCGAGGGATCGTTTCTGCAAGATACAGAGATTGGTTCCCCTTGCATTGGTGCAACCCAGGACGCTTCATCAATGGCAGAAGCTCCTGGGCCTCTTGACGTCAGCTCAGGCATTGACCCTCAGGGGCCAACTGCGACTTCGGCCCTTGCAGCTTTTCCTGGCACCTCACATCAGAGTGGGCGATCCGCTCGCTTTGATCACTCTGCCTCCAGAGCTCCATCCCCATCTCCTGTGGTGGATGGAAGAGTTGAACATTTGCGGTGGAGTTTGCTTAGGGCCGTTCGTTCCGTCTCACCACCTGTATGTGGATGCATCTCTACACGGGTGGGGGGCTCACCTTCTTGATCAGCAAGTGGCAGGGCAGTGGTCTCTCGCAGATCGCGCTTGCTACATCAATGTTCTGGAGTTCAGGGCGGTGATTCATTCAATCATTCACTAGCAAGAAATCCTTTGAGCAACTTCTCTCATGGTCTGATCGGAAAATGCAGCAGTTGTGTGGCACATCAGCAGGATGGGGTCAACGGGGTCTCCTCAACTCCTGCAGTAGACACAACAGTTCTTCGACCTGGTGGACTCTCTCAACATCTCTGTGCGAGCCAACCATATTCCAGGGGTGAAGAACGTCGTTGCGGATTCTCTGTCCCTCCCCAACAGAGTGGAAACTACACCCAAAGGTGTTCCAGACCTTCTGCCTTCTGTTGACGACTCCGACAGTGGATCTATTCGCCACCCGGTTCAACCATTAGCTGCCTCTGTTTGTGTCTCTGATTCCGGACCCTCTGGCTTGGGCTCACGATGCTCTAGCCATTCCATGGGACGACCTAAATGCTTACGCGTTTCCGCCAGTGGCCCTTCTTCCACGCATACTACTGAAACTGCGCGCAACTCAGCTTTAGGGTAGGGTAAATCTTCAAGAAATAGCTGAACCAGATCCGGTACCACTTCCTCGATCTACTGGTTCATCCGCACTCCGATCAGCTACATTGGTCTCCGCTCACGCTCCATCTTCACCTTTGGCGCATTTACATCGGTTGCCAACAGCCAAGGGTGTTGCTACTACCATTACTACAGCACATCGCACCTCCACTAGGTCACTTTATAATTACAAGTGGAAGAATTTTGAAGCGTATTGCAGGACGAAGGGCATAACATCTTTAAGACCTTCTTTCTCTTGGCCTTGGCTACAGCTGCCCGTATTTCCGAGTTGCACGCTCTCGATGTCTCTCAGGTACGTTTTGAAAGGTCTAGACATGCTAAAGTGTTCCTTGGTTTGAGCTGGGATTTTCTCGCCCAAAATCAGTTACCAGGACAGCCGGACCGCACGTTTACAATCCCACCACTGTCTACTATCCTGGGCCCAGATAACAAAGAAGATCTTTCCTTATGCCCGGTTCGTACATTACGGATTTACCTGGCTGCCTCTAAGGCCTGTGCAAGAGACTGTTCATTCCGTTTTCCACTGCCTCCGCCTCGGAAGTCCCTCGCACTACCTTAGCGTTTTGGATGAGGTCTACGATCCTGCGTGCATATGCCTTTGCTGACCTTCCTCCACCTTCAACGGCGAAGCCTCATGAGACTCAGGCTCTTGCTTCGACCATGGCGCTTCACAGGAATTGTTCCCTCCAGGCCATCGTGGAGTGATGCTTTTGGAAATCGGATACCGTGTTCGCCTCACTCTACCTTCAGGATCTCTCGGTTACAGATGTGGAATGTCTACATCAGTTCGGCCCTTTGGTCTTGTTCGCAGATGAAGCAATCCTTCTTTCTGTCGGTTTTGCTCTGTACATAATAAAAGATATCGATGTAATCCATGGCTTGCTACTTTTTTTCATTTGGGCTTAGATCATTCTCACCTAGGGAACTAGGGCGTGTCTGCACTGTCATAGCTATGACTGGATAGACTGTGAGGCCAGTCTTGTGCTACATGCAAAAATGGTCGACACTCCGCTTACTGACATCTACTGTCTGAGCAATTACGTAGTGAAGTGTTGATTTCCAATTACTTACATGGTTTTCGATGCATTCCGCTCCTAAGTCCTTTCTCACCTTTGGTAAGTTAGGGGGATTGGTACTGAACGTTAAACTAGTTGAGCAACCGGGCTATTCCCTCTTTCACCGCCTTCCAGCATGTGTCTGTGGGGGGTAGTTTCAATGCAGGGACTGGCCAGATTAAGGTCCTCGACTTTAATTCACTGGGGTCACCTGATAAATCAATGGGAGGCGGGGCCTACTTGCCAAACTGCATCCTTTTGCTTGTCAAAAGCTGCGACTGAAAACTTCATTAATTCAGGAGCGCCCACTCCCTAGAGTTTTTGTGCTGTGTAAGCCAAGGGGTTATCTGAAGAAACCGATCACAAGTTTTTGGAGTTTGCATATCGGGAGTTGGTCCTTTCTCCTGGCCTCCTTGTGTCATGCGTCCTCACGGTTGTACTGGTGACAGGGTAATCTGCGGCCCTCCTGCCAACAGTGGGATAATACATACCGTGAGCTAGGACAAGTTTAAAAATTTGGAAATTTTAACTATAAATTGTATATTTATATACTTATCCTATCCCACCCGACCTGCCCTACATCACAGATTACTGGAGGCTCCAAGATGAGAATGACAGGCACAGGACGTCATGTGATCATCTGAACAATCTGCACGCTTATTTAGATGATTGACAGGTGCTGATATCGGAGTGGGGGCAGAAGTCAGGTGGTCAGAGGCCAGTAAGATTTGATTCAACTTAGCGTACAGCACGTTTCCACACATGGTCGAGAAGAAGAAGAGGAGAGGTGCATACCGTGAGATAGGATAAGTATAAACATACAATTTATAGTTAAAATTTCAATTTTTAGTAAAGACAAATATTAAGCTGTCTCTTTAGGATTTTGCATATAATTTCTTACTAATATTGTTTCCGCTTTGTCTCTTTGTCAGGGGGATTGAATCAAGTTGAGGACAATAAAGAAAAGATGACTAACCCAGATATGAGAAGAGCCAGATTTGAACTGCTGTACAAGGAATATGAGGTTTGATTAAAACTGATTTAAAAAGTTATTCCCCATAACAGTTTTTAAACAATGAATGACATTATGTCAAATCCTAGGGATCATTAACTGCTGATTCTGAAGCTCACTGTCCCTTTGGTCAAAAAAGCCTTATGAACAGTGGGAAAATATTTACATTTTATCAATTTTTATTAGCAGACACACACTGTCATCAACATTGTTTAAAGGACCTTACATGATGATGTCATACAAAAGCAACTCATATGTTTGGTGACTTACAAGTACTAGATCAGCATGTGTAAACATGGTAGACAAACCCTGGTCAGATTTTTAAGGTGGACATCTACTGAATCAAAACTTAAGATATATTAAGTAGTCATACTAAGTACACATGTCTAAATCCCAGCTCCAGCTATGATGTCCTAGTGGAGAGATAGGTTAGGTATTTTTTCCTATCTTATCCTATCTCACGTTCTGTACTCTCTCTCTTACGTTCGATAGCTGAGTGGAAACGAACTGTAACTGAAATTTTTTGGAGTCTTTGAAGGGCATTTAGAAGTGATACACATAAAGACAAGAGTTTTTATGGATACTTCGAAACTTCGCGACCCTTCACAATAAAGAAGCTGTCATCCATAAAAACTCATCTTAATGAAAATGTTTACCTCTCTGAACAACTCGCCCGAACACACCCCTGCTGCTCTGGACAGCCTTGCAGCTCCTGTGAAGCATGCAGCATATCCTCTGGTTGATCATGTGACCCCTCTATATGTAGTCATTCTCTTTCTTGTCATGCTGATGTGCTGTAACTCTGTCAATAAACTGACTTAGATTAGACTTTAACATCAAGAGAAAGAAAGAATCTTCATCTAGAAAAAGGAAAGTTTGTGCTGACTGCAAGAAGACCTTTTCTACTTCGGATCCTCATGTGTCTTGCATTGACTGCATTAGACTTTGCAACTTGCATAGAAAGACGCAACGTGTGTATCAAGATGGACGAGGATAGCTTTGCTAACTACAGGGAGGTGGGGTCCCAGCGCCTTTCTTCAACTAAGAAAACCAAGAGTTCTGTAAAGAAGGCACACAGACGGAGTGTCCACATATATATCAGATCAAGACAACTTCTAGATATGCCGTCAGACTATTATTGAGTGAGAACTCAGATGCATCGATCCTCTTGTCCGTCAGTTTCATTACTGGTACTGGTCATACAATGTTTTCTGAACCTACAGTCATCGAACTCGCAAGACGCGGCAAACCCCCATTCGTCAGAATTGCAAGATGCTGTGGTTCCTCACAACTCAACGATGCCATTGGATTCGGGGAGACATCAGGCATCGGAGAACTTAGATGACTTTTAAATCCTTCGGACGGATCAGGCATTCGCCAATCCCCAGACCAGCAGTTTCATCATGGGCAGTGGTCTTCGAACCCACATCATTTGTTGAACTTGATCCTATGACTTCTACAATTACTAAGGTGTGTCAGTCTCACACATATGCGTAGAACAATCGTCAAAATAGTAAGATGCTGACGATTCCTCACGACTCGACCATCCTCTTGTATTCGACGGGACATTAGACTAAATCATCAATCCCACCTAGTTTGACAAACCTCTGAATACGAATCAACCATCTACGATCAATTCGGCACAGACTTCGGCTGCATATTCTGGCTCACATTCAGCAAACGCTAATGATTTGGCTACAGCGTCACATCACATCACTTCTACGATCCATACAGATTCGACTATCCCTACGACCAACTCCTAGATACCAGCCTACTTCTGTGACATTCACCTATACGTTTGCAAGCTACAAGACCGACACAGCCAATGTTACAAGTGTCTTAGGATCATTGTCCCAAGATACACAGTCGAATACCAACCTCCTAGTTCGCTTTCAAGAACCTGAAGAGAATCATGATGGTTTCTCTTCCCAAAATACTCTCAGGCAGAGGTTTGCTAGTTGTATCCCCACATAAACATCTTCACACTCTGCCCTAAAACGGAACAACACTCCCTTCCTAATTGAGAATCGGGACACCCGGCACAATATGTTTCGACGAATCCTGAACTGCAGGAATCGACTTGAGCTAAACTTCGCTTCAACCCAGGACAAGAGGAGAACTCAAATCCACATCCTACGGCAGAAGGGTGCAAACGGCAGACTCCAGTAAACAATGAATGTCAAGAGACTTCGCACAACTGGGATCTTCCACCCCCAGTCATCCTGATTTTAGATTCCCCGGTTGGCGGAAAAATTGGCACATATGCTAACAATAGATCCTTTCATCACACACTTGGCTTGGGCTATAAACTACCGATTGTCGGATCTCTGGCTTTGACGAATGATCTGGTTCAAAGAACCTACCCTTTGACGCAGATATCATCTCTACTAACCATTGGCTTTGCTATGGCCCAAGTCTATTTACCCTCATCATGAAACCCATCACTCAGTTCTGCATCGTCGGGGAATCGTTTCGAGGCCTACGTCAACGATTGTATACAAGCCATCAGAAATCGTCAGATCTTCCTACAATATCTACAATTCACCATAAGCTAGGGTTGATTCTCAACATCAAGAAGTCAGAGCGGATTCCAACTAAACGACTGCAGTTCATCGAGGCTGTCCTCGAAACTGGTATGGGGTAGATATTTGTTTATCTCAACAGTCTCTTTAGCAGAAGTCTGTCGTACCACGTTGGCCTTCTGGATGAGATCGACTATCCTGCATGCCTACATCTTCACCAGTATCCCCCTCCAGCCGCGTGAAGGCCTCACGAGACTCTGGCCCAGCATCTACGATGGCTCTTCACACAGAGGTACAGATAAGCTGCGTATCTGCGTAAATTAAGCAAATATTTATGTGAAAACTCAATTCCTATTTAGGCTATTGCATACAAGTATGCTTGATTTTTAGTAAATACTCAATAAATGTGAACTTACATGTGCACACACAAAAATGCCAAATCTTAGCTTGTATACCGGTTGATAAATAAAATAACTGAGGTATATTGAGAGGTTCTATTTCAGGACATGAACTTGGCAACTGGCAGTCTTTCTTATCGTTCCTCATATTACTGATCAAACATAAATAACAAACACTAACAGTTAAACTTTAGTGTATTTTTAAAATTAATGGAAAATGGCAAAATACCCAAATGAGTTGAGTGAGATGAGTACAATATATTTTTTACTCAAAGGAATATTAGGATACCCAATTGAGATGAACACAAGCGAGTACATAACTCAATGACCCAAAAAGTGATCTGTAGTTCTGTTCACATCAACTGTTTGTGGACATCTATTTTTGAGGGATGTTTCTGGAGATCACAGACGGTCTTTGCCGCCCACTACTACGTGACCTCTCAGTGACTGATGTAAAGTGACTCCATCAGTTTGGTATTGACGCAGTATCTGTCCTTGGCCCGACAACACAGATAGTGACATCCTCCATCCACGGAATGGGTGTTACCTTGTAAAAGTGAAGAAGGTGTATTCATTCGACTTCATCTTGGTTCTACTTTCCTTGGGCATAGATCTAACTCACCTGGAACGACACTGGGGCAGTGCAGTACAGTCACCATAGACTTCATCATAGACTGAGAGGCCAGCCTTGTGCTACGATGCAGAGGTGGTCGACACTCATATTCATTAACCTCTACACTAATGAGCAATCATGTCAGTGGTGTATGAATACTTAATTCCAGTGCATTTTGATGTGTTCTGCTCCAGGTTGCCAGAAACATCCTTCATCAAGGTTAAGCACAGGAGCTAGGGTCAATTGATGTCGTTCAGAAATGAATGTTAAACAGTTCAGCTAACCAAGCCATTCTGCCTTTTGCCTTTGTGTGTGATCGCAGGGGATGGTTTTGAAGCAGGGGCAAGCCAGACTAGAGTTTCTGGAAATCGGGGCGAAGCAGGGAAACCTGTTTGAGTTCTTTCATTTGTCTTTTTGACAAATGATACGTTGTGAAAACCACATAAACTCAGGAGCGCCCACTCCCTGAGAGTTTTATGCTGTGTAACGCTAAGGGGTTTATTGGAAGCAACCCATCACAAGTGATCTATGCAGTCAATCGGCAGATTGCAGTCATAACCAGCCAGTCCAACCTAAGACAGAGAGTACAGAACTTGAGATAGGATAAGAATTAAAAATATACATTACTGTAAACGTATTATATATCGCGCAGGTTTTATTTTCGCTCTTTTCGCTTTTACCGCGAAAATTTATACAGCGAATAAACCTTTCATTCATTCACTCAAGTTTGAAGATAGAAATCTAAAATGACGACTGATAGTAGCATAAAGAATCATACTTAACTGTCGCTGTAATGGATTTCCCAAATCATGTCCCAACATGTTCTATTTTGACCAATCGTAGTGACAGATGGTTTGATACAAAATGGATTACCATGAAACGACTCGGAAAGAAATAATACAGCAGTATTTTATTAATTCATTAAGATTTTATTTATGTTTATTCCCGCATATCACGAAATGAAATCACAAAGTCTGGAAGTCCAGGTGTCTTAGGGGTAGGTGCTTTCTTTAACCACATTCGCAATGCCATCGTCAGATCGTCAGAATTCGGAACATAAGACTGATGTGTTTTTCATCTCTTTATATAGTATACTAGTACCATCACATCTCACTTCCTAAGTTCTTAATACTTCCGTGAGTAAACGTATTACTGTACATATCGCGCAGGAAGGGATTTCCTGTGAGTAAGCAATACGCGCCGCCTGACAGATGCTTATAAGCCACCCTGGTTGTTTTCATTGATATTAGTGGCGGCCTAAGAGACAGCTGGCAGTTCCGGCAATTACTGATTGCGCGAATAATTGACTGCGCGATGTAGTCTAAACTGTCAATTCTGCTAAAATTTGCACCAAATCAAAAAAAGTACGTTTACAGTATATAGTTAAAATTTTCAATATCGAAATGCAAATCTGGGGCTAAAATACACTGTTTATGTTGTAATTGTTCAGGTATATGCAGATTCTGGAGTGACAATAAAACTCTCTTATCTGTCAACAACAAACAAACAAACAAACATCTCTCACAAATGGAGCCGACCGCCTCCGTGGTGTAGTGGTTAGAGCGTCCGCCGAGAGCCGGAAGGTCGCGGGTTCCATCCCCGACCGCGTCATACCAAAAGACGTTAAAATATGGTACTTGTTGGTCCCTGCCTGGCACTCGGCATTAATGGGTACAACAAGGACTGGTCGGCTCGGAGTCAGTATAATGTGTCTGAGTGGGGTATTCATGACCTCACGTCACCTCACAAATGGAGCCTAAACATTTTCCTGGACTGTGTGCATGTATTACACCACAAGGTTAGTGGTTTGTGTCACAGTGAATCTTGTGTTTAACATGCTTGGTATCTAAGATCATGTCGATTATTTGTTGGATGATAACAATCACATGACATAACAATACTTGATCACAGAAACAAAAGTTCTACATCAAACAATGAAAGTAGCACCTACCTTTTTTCTTTTGCATTTGTATATATTTAAATGTGTACTTTTTCTGGGGTTGAGTCCCATCTCATAATGATGCTCCCAATCGCCTGCACACAAAGCAAGTAGTACAATCTGTACACAAATATTGTGACCACTTTTTAAAAGGTATTGTTTAGTCATATTCTTCTTCTTTTTTAAATTGTTTATGGGTGAGTGAGTAAGGTTTCACGCCGCTTTTAGCAATATTCCAGCAATATCACTTTGTACCCATGTGGGGAACCCGGGACTTCCGTGTGACAAGTGGACGCTTTAACTGTTAGGCTACTCCACCACAAATGTTTATGGGGGTCGGTGGGTAGACTAGTGGTTAAAGTGGCTTGTCACGCCGTAGATGTAGGTTCGATTCCCCACATGAGTCCATGTCCCCAGCTGTGATATTGATGGAATATTGCTGAAAGAGATGTAAAACTATGCTCACTTATTTATTTTATGTCTTATATTGAAAGTTGTCATGCAGAAATTAAGTGATATGTTTATAACATTTGTTCACAGGATGAATTTAATCATCTAGAATCTGAGGTGAAGCTTTTCAAAAAGGAGAATGAAATCTTGAAAGAGCAGCTCAAGAGAGATGGGAGGTCAGAGGTCAGTGGAAGACCAGATTTCATTCATCCAGGATCCTCGGATACAAGTAGTCTGATGACACTCACCAAGAAACTACAAGATGCCCAGAAACTATATGAACGCCTCAAAACCGACATGAAGAAGGTCAATGAGGTACACATCTGACTAACTACAAGTTTCATCTCACCTGATAAACAGACACGTGAATCCTTCAAACTAGACCTGTTAATTCAGAAATAAGTTTTAGTGAAACAGGCGATCAAGCGTTAGAGGTAGTATTCTAAGAATTATTATCATTGTGTTTCAGTTTTGCAGATTCAGAAACATTGAGAATATTTTGTTGTTTCATAATGCTGAATACTTTTGTCCACATTATTAGTGCAGAAATTATTGAATAGAGTTCCAGGTGAGCTTCTTTGCGGTGGCACTAATTTTGTTTGTTAATAGAGTCTAAGACAAGCCAAGTTTGACATCCATGCAAACTAGACAGCATTTAGGGGGGTAAGCAATTAATTTAACTGTTTGTTTTTGCCCAGTTTATCTCATAAAATATGTCAAAGAGTAAATAACTCAATCTTTTTGTTAATATTGAGTTTCAAGTAATCGCTTTAATACTTACACATTTTTAGGAAAATAACAAACTCAAGGATGAAAAGGTCAACCTTAACCGAGAAAATGAGAAACTCGAATGGAGATTGCAACCCGATCTCCACACAGGTGAGTGCAATCATCTCCCTTCTGGTAATGCTGTTTTTCATTGTCTTTTTGTTGTAAGTGATAAACAAACTGACTTCTTAGCCACTGAAATGCTGTACCAATATCTAGTGCTGAGGGTGCACAATGCCATTTTCGAAGTTGCCAAATGTAACGAATGTAATATTTGGGATAACACTTTCTCAGTAAAGCAAAGATTCTAGTACTTTTTGAGGGTTGAGTCCCATCCAGGATTAGAAGCCATACTCTCAGAGTCCGGCACCCAATCGCCAGCACACAAAATCAATGATCTTACCCACCCAGCCACCATGGCTTCCACATAAATAGAAGTAAGACAACTGGTACTCTTGTTTACATATTTTGTGTACCCATCTGACTATCTTCACCAAGTTTTAGCCATGTATCATCCACACATCTCCAATGATCCAAATAAAATGTTATCTCTAACAAAAGTTGATGTCAGGTGCAATTAGAGTATAGTATAATATTGAACCATTCATCAAAATTTCATCCGAATTCCCTGAATTCCAGAATTTTGTAGGTATGACAATGACTTTAACTCTTTCAACACCAGTCAACCAGAGGTATTTACTGCCATGACACCGAGTTCCCAGAGACTCTAAGGTCATAGATGAAGCCTATGTTTATGAAGGAAATTATAAGCTTGTAAAACGTTATTGCTACTACATCTTATACACCATTTAAAAGATCTAATCCCACTGTTGATAAATATGAAGTTTATTTTTATAATATTATTCAAATAATACAACTACAACTAAAATAAATCTATTTTTAATGTCCAGATAAACCACGAAAAGAAGCAAAAACTATGGCGATTTTTTTCCATTTGTGACATGTCATAACATGCCCATGCCTTTTTCTTTTATATTTTCAGTTTTACGTAATCAGAAAATGATTATAAAAAGATTTCTGAAATAATATGTATGGTCGCCTATTTCCCGATATCAGTGGCTTTCCGCTCGGTAAAATGACACAACGGAAAATAAATCCGTTTTGGAAGCTTCGTATGAATAACATGCGAGGCGAATTGTTTGATGTCGGGTATCGTTCGAAAGCTCTGAACATCAACAATATCACTGTAGCCAATCATTTATGGCAATGGATACCTTCCTCGTAAATGAGAACTTTTAGAATTAGACGAAAGTTTTGGGTAAAATAATGCTATTCTGAACACATTAAGCAAGAAATCGCTACCTATACGTAAATTATGGAACCTGTTGGACATGTCGTGCTACGTTATTACCTGTGACAAAAATGCTTCATGCATATATTTTCGCATTGAACATCGTGTCCAAGCGTGAAGATTGAGGCGACGAGAGCCGAGATGTCACTTGTCAGTGACTTGACTTACATTACATGATCGCACAAAAAGATGGAAATAGTAATTTTATATGTACGTTTGACAACTTTTATGAATACTGTTGTTGATTTTATTCATTAGTTTATTCAATTTATTTAATGATTTCCTCGAAACATCATTACTTTGCTCTTTGACAATGTTATTGTGGACCCGCTGCCGAAGCATGTGTCCGAGAATCGTTGTTTTCAATAACATTGCGAAAAATAGTTTATAATTTTAATTCTGCTGATAATAATATATATAATCAATTGAAATTTAATAAGTGTTTTCAGACATTGTGAAATGTGATAGATTTAATATATGAATCATAAGTCAGGTAGGTTCCTAAAATTATGTCTCATTTTGATGTGTCTACTGCCTGGCCGGTGTCAGGGGACTCATAATGTTGTGGCCTGGGGTGTTGAATGGGTTAAGGTAGTTTCAGGTTTGGTGTCTAAATCTTGTAAACAGAGCATTTTGGCAATCATCAAAACATACCTTATGATCCATGTGAGGTAAGGTGAAATTGGGTTTAACGTCGTGCTTGAGAATATTTTGCTCATATGACGATTATGATCCATGTGGTAATTGCAAGTGGAAAGTGATCTAATCTACTGAGTTCTAAATGTGTGTGTGATAAAAAGGTTGCACACTAGGTCATTGAAGGGGTCTGGGATCAAATTTGCATTTTACAGCCAAAGTCATTAATATTTAGTAGGAATACTTGAGTTGTTCAGACATGAAAGGAATTTCAGGGCATGCTTGTGATGGTTCAACAACTGTGATGTATACAACTTCCATGACATCCTGGACATGTTCATAGGGAAAGGTCAGGACTTAGTGCTGGCCATGGTATGACATGGATTTTTCATCCCGGTACAATAGGCATGTGCATCATCATCATCATCATCATCATCATCATGAATGTTGAAATGTTACCTGATATGTTATGCAAATGTCATCTGTGACTCAACCATGGGCTTCACCTCGGTTCTTCAGTATCCTCCCTCGATAAAGGACGTCAGTGTTTCTAAATATTTCTCTCGTCTTCGCCTCGAGAAATACTTAGAAACACCTCCATAAATTTCACCAGGAAAAGGTAAAGTGCTGAAAGTGCAAGCCGTAAAAGTCAGGTTTTGGTTTTTTTTTTTTATTTTATATGTTAATGGCATGTTCACTTGTGAACTACATTCACATTCATGACACAGTTGGCAGCCGATATAACAGAACCAGGATCAATTGTGAATTCACCTGCTGCAGAACCTGTAGTAGTAGATATGCCAGTTGAATTGGGCTTTATATCGCGTCTTCAGCATCTTCATCTTGGCCTTTCTTTGGCAAAGTGTCCAGCAGTCTGCTGACTTGTAGATTTTGTTCTTCCAAGGTTCTCTTATATGAGCAAATGCCTGATTGAAAAATTAAAATTAAAAATTTTGAAATTACCAACACATCCACAAAGCAGTCTGAACACCATTAACGCATCATACTGAAAAATTACTCTACTTTCTGTTACATGTGAAACACAGGGTTCAGTTAGCCAGTTGTACATTAGGAACATCACACGACACATGGGATTCACGTGCAAAACATGACCATTTTAGTCACCTGTTATGACAAGCATGACCTAATGAGGTGTATTCCCCAGACACCATAAAACACCAATATAATTTCAAAATAAATAATGCGAAATCTTTGATTCAACAAACTAATTAGCCATATATCTTGGCGTACATGTAAAATATTAACCTGAACCCTCGCGATATGGCCAATATACCAGCTCAGGGCTCAGGTTAATATTTACTACAATAAGGTCAAAGCCAGACTCATCAGAGGTGTACAAAAGTTGTCGCAGACGTTTTATCTTGACAAGATTGCCTGGAGCCTCAAGCCAAAGATCTTTCATTCCCTCTGCCTGAAAATCAGCAATGCCCTGGTGGATCTCTGCGACCTGATTCAACAAAGATCTGTTGACATTTCTGTGATTCCAGGCCCTTCCTCTGAGGATCATGACACTGACCTGGAAGGGCCTGAACACGTTTGTGATTCCTCTATCATGCCTATTTCCATAAGTTCTCAACAAACTGCAGTCAACCCAAAAGATTCATCTTATTTTGGTCACACCCTTCTGGCTGCTGAAAAGTTGCCAGACAGACCAAGAGACAACTTGTTGACACACCCTCACTCTGACCAACACCATTGGTCTCTACAGATGGCTCATGTTCTCTAATCGTGATAGGAGACTCCAAAGAGTTGTTACAACAATCACATTGGCTCACTGTACCACCACTTGTGATAACTAATGGAAGATGTTTCAAGAACATTGTAATGTGCATAGTATTTCTTCACCTACTACTGTTCAGCACAGACAGTTGCCAAATACCTTCAGCTTCTTCACATTATTTTAAGAAATTCAAGTATTCTAACTTGTCTGTTTCTCATAGTCATTCATATGTTTATTCGACTGGGAATAGGATTTTTACAATTCCAGAACTTCAATCCTACAAGCTGGTTGATATGTCAAAGAAGGTCGAGCCACTTGGGATCTTACAGTGGTTCTCTCTCATCAGCTGATATTTTGAACCACTCAAGGAAAAAGACTTTGAGTGCAAAACCCTGTAGATAGTCTTCTTCATATCTTTCACTACTGCAGCAAGCATCTCACAGCAAGCACCTCATATTATTTAATTAATCATTTAATTTTGGAGGTGTGGCGGGCAAACTGTCCAAGGTGCCAGGCTAGTGATCGAGCGAGTTAAGGTGCTGAGATCGAGCCCACCAGTAACCGGGTGGCCACATGAATACGTGCAAACACCTAGTTGCGGATACAGCAACATGCTGTGAAGTTGGACAAAGTACTGTGACTATGTGTCCCAGTCCACCCAGCTGTGAATGGGTATCTCGTAAGGATGGGAAAGCCACATTAACTTTGTGTGCCTAATGGCTGCAAGTGTGATCCCCAGGGAGTTGAGATTGAAAATATGATGTGTAGTTGAGATTGGCATCCAATGATTGTGGGAAAACAAAGCGCCTTTGAGCAGCTGAATTGGATATTGGTGCTATACAAATATTAATGTGTGTGTGTGTGTGAGCGTGTGTTCGAGATTATTTGTTGGAAGTAAACACTTTTGTAAGTTCACTGGCATTAATCAACTAACGAGCTAGCCAATTATGTTAATTTTGTTGTTTTATTTGTTACACTCTACATATATACATGCCCTACACTTCATGTTACATTCTTGTCTGATTGAATGTTTTGTCCAAGGATCTTCTAATCACCACAGGAATAGACCAATGTGCATCATGTTCACTTGAAAGTAAGCTCTCAATTGTGTCCAAGGTCATTAGGGGCGGTGGGGTAGCCAAGTGGTTAAAAGCGTTTGCTCGTCACGCTGAAAACCCAGGTTCGATTCCTCACATGGGTACAATGTGTGAAGCCCATTTCTGGTTTTCCCCGCCGTGATATTGCTGGAATATTGATAAAAGCGTCACAAAACCATGTTCACTCACTCACTCACTCACTCCCAGGTCATTATTTTGAAGTGGCAAATACTAGTAACAGATACTTTCATTCCGCTGTCTTTGCAGACAAAATCTGGCTACATCACTGATAATCTTGTGAGTGAGAGAGGGAATATTGTTTAATGCTACATCTGCAATTTTACAGCTATGCAGCAAGGATAATTTCATGTATAATGTGTTATATTTTTACAAAATTACATAGTCTGATGGTTTGATTTTTACATATACTATAAGTTTCAATATTTTACTTTCAGATATGGGAGATACACTGTTGCAACATTGGAAGCAAAGGTTGAGAGCTATGAAAAGGAAGTAAGACAACTGAATAAAGCTTTGGAACGAAGTGATAGATATGTGGAAGATCTTGAATCCGAACTAAAAAAACTGAAAGGAATAATCCCAGGCAAATCCAGCTCTGTTCCCCACAAATCTTCCTTAGATTCAAGGAACAAAGATCATGTCTCTGAAAATCCGGCCAAAAGACAGCTGTTTGGAAGCTCCATGGAAGATTTAAGAAATCTTCATGCTGGAGATTTGATCTCAGTAAAAGCCAGACAAATGCCAACATCCACTGTCTATCAGAAAGTTGCTTCCGACAGAGCATTTGGAGGATCTGTAAATGGCTTCATGGATTCCAAGTCAAGATCACAAAAAGAGATGCAAAAGAGAGATGACACAGAGATCACCATGAACAGCACCTCTGATTCAGGATCACCAATAAAAGATAAGAGTCCCAAAAAAGTGCATTTTTCTCTCCCCCAAAAAACATATGATACATCATCCTTTGATCTGGATCAGCCAAGTCCACTGACACCCTCAAGTGCATTAGAGAAATTGGCCATTGGGAATGGTAGATCATCACCAAGTGAGATTGAGTCTAGATATTTTGAACGTGCGAGGTATGGCTCTGAAACCTCTGATAGAAAGAATTCTGTGGATGGCAATTCATCCCTTGATAGTTTTGATGGCTTGGGGAAAAAAGGAAAGTCCATTCTTAAAACTACAGAAAAATATGATGATACTTCAAGTACAAGCCTACTTAGTGTTCCTGACTTTGAAACAACACCTACAAAGAGGTTTAAACACAGGCATGACCTTGAGTTGAGTGACCTTGATGACACACAGACAATTAGAAGTGAGCTTGATGACCTGAATATATCTCTGACACCAGAGTTAAGTGACTGTATGAAATTGTTGAACCGAGCTGAGAAGAAAACACACAATTTTGAAGGAACTGTTCAAGACACAGCAGGTACAGCAACAGACATTGCACAAGACAACTATGCCAGCCAAGAGGGCCAGTTATTGAGTACTATGTTAACAACTGCTACTGTCCATCCATACCACTCAAATCCAGATAGTCTGTTAAGCGTGCAAGACAATGAATACTACAGTAAAGTAAGACCTAGCACTTACAAAATGCAGACTGTGCCCAGTGATAATGGAAGTAGTTACTCCAAGTTAGCATTCTCTGATGCAGGTGTTAGTAGTGCAAATGTCTACCCTAAGGTGGTCACCTCTCTTCCAGGTTCATCCTTAGCATATACAGGACTATCAAACTATGACACACTTCCAGCAACTACATCAGTTTCACATTCTTATGGTGCATCTGCCCATTTCAACCGTGGACAGTTAAAAGGTATTCACTCAATGCAAAATATGGATGAAAAGTTGCACATGCTAAACATAACAGGAGATAAATATAGAGCATCAGGTTTATATGACCAAAATGTTTTGGCTACTAAATCAGATTCAGCCCTGAAAAGCAGGTATGACAGGCACTTTCCATCAGCCACTGTCCCTCCCCAATCTTTCCACTCATCCTTGCCCATTACCACAACTGCAAAACCTCTTGATCGAGACTTGCTCCTTACAACTGATCTGCCTCCAAGAAATCCAATTCAGCGCCGTTCCTCTCTAGATTATGGCAAAGAAGTTCACTTTAATCCTCTTAAAGGTTCAGATGCTCAGAACCTTCTTGCTTGTCAAATGAAGGAACGAAAATCTTCCTCACTCACCAACATTCCAGCAGCTATCCCTTTGTCATCCTCGGCCCTTTCCAATTCGCAGACAGTCGGCAATCATCTTCACAAGTTGAATAAACTGTTTCCAGTCTCCTCCAGTTCTTCCATTGGAACTTATGTTTCCTCTGGTTTGCCTCATTCCATGTCTTCTAATCCTAGCTTCTCATTGTCATTGACAGGTAGCACTCCAGCTTCTGCTGTCATTGCGGCGTCCAGTTGTGTAGCTCACCCTGTGTCAAGGCCACCCCAAGCACTTCCTGCTAACTCCTTGCTCTCTGCTGCTGTCGTCCCAAACCAATCAGTGGTTAGCTACCCTGCTACATCCAGCATTACATTTGCACCTTCAGCTCTCAGGACATCCTCAACGAAATCATTAGTTCCAGACCGACTTGAACATTTGACAGGTGCAAGTGAAATAAGCAAGACAGGGAACTATAGTTACGTGTCTAATGCCTCAAATGACCTTTCATCCAGAGGGTCAGACTCTTATTTGCCAGAGCCCAAAAAGCGCCTTTTTGAGAGTGGAGATGATCTAGATCTGACTTTAAGCCCTATCAAGTCAACCAGAATTCACTAGTCAGTTCCAATTGAAAAGGTCAACCCCAAAACGTTGATCATCATGGCACATGCTTTATCACATTTGCACCAACCACTTAAAACCTCAAACAGGAACATGAGATAATGCTTAACTCAAAGACAATCTTTAAAATTGTATGAAATCAAAGTAGGTCAAATGTGAATGTGTATTTTTGTCCTTGTAAATCATTTCATGTATGTGACAAACACCCAAACACGCCTCTTCTATGTCGGGGCAACTGTTTCTCTTGCTTGCCACTCATGCCACTTCTAATCCCTCACTTTCCCTTCCCATCACACAAAAGATACATGTGTTTGTATTTGGGAACTGCAGTATTCAACATAACACATTCTTGAAGAACAAAACTTCAGTTACCTTCCTCAATGGTTACACTCTCTGTTGCAAATATTCAATTTTGCATTATGTGGAGTTACGGCAATTTTCCGCTGATCCACATATTTCCGCCGATTCCTTTTTTCAAATTGATCAGTTCTGTGAATCGTCTGAACGCCCCCATTCAATCACACAATGTTAAGTTTTCAGCTGAAAATAGATTTTCCTGTTGCCGTATCTAATAATGTGTTCTTGTTTAGTGTTCATTCCGCAAGTTGGTGAATGGTAAACTTTCCTGCCAAATCTTTGTAACTATTTATCTTGTTGCATCACCACAATCGTCTTTGGTTTAGACTATTTTTTTTGACAATCCCATCAAAAAGCCAACATTTTGTTTCATTAGAGGGCAATAGTGACCGTTTGATTTCATATTTGGGAATCTGTTATTGTTCATGTGCTTTTACACCAATATGACTTTTAATGTTATGTATCCTATGTATCATGAAACGGGTTGTCAATCAGTGTGTCGTTCTATAGGCCTCATTTCGGGATACAGTACTGTATTGCTGTATCATTACAGTGCTGATAACTGTCTCTCTAAGTACCAATGACAACATACATGTGTCAACTATATGCAAGGTATTTAATGTGTACACTTACGGTGTACCTGCTATGGCATCTTTGTACCGTTTTATTTGTGAATTGTCTTCATTTTTTTCCGCAGTCATTTTGTAACACATGCTTTACTGTCTACAAGCCCTTTCTTCTGGCAGATATTTCAGTAGATTTTTTCACAATATATGAACAAATGTCAGGTAAACTTACTTGTCGTGCTTATCAGGTGGAAATATTACTATTCATAGCTTTGGACTAGTTGCTGGCTTACTATCACATGATGAATTAGGGGTGATTTCAGGATTTTATAGAGGTGAGGATTCTGATTAGGTCATTTCTAGTGTCAGTGGCCAGGAGATTCCACACAAACGTTTTCCAGAAAATCACAAACATGATCAGTTAACTATTATTAATTTCACTTGAACAAGCAAATGAATGTTATCCATTGACCCTTTTTTCCACAATATGATGTGGGTTTTCCTCAGTTCTAGGCATGCCACCCACACCACAACAAATCTGCTGCTGAATCTGCCATAGGCTGAAAGGTTGACAATAGCTTGATGCTCATTTTGTTATTGTCTGACATGACCGTGTCCATTAAAGGTCACATGCAACCAAAAAATCAAACATAATTAAAACACAATTATCACTTATTCGTGACATATAATATACATTGCTGGTTATGAAAAAACATATAAACAAAATTATAAGCGTACAATCGCAAATCAAAAGTTTAATACTGTGTACTTGGGTTTACTTCCCAAGAAACGAAGCAGCCGGGATACCGAACCCAGTCAGAGCGGGTGGGTGTGCACTCAAGTGTAACGGCTGGTTCATTTGCGTATGCCCTCACGGCTTATTGTGTGTGTATATGTAGAGATGTTGGGTTTTGTAAATACATGCTCATTTTTGTGTATAACATTTTGCAATGAACAGACATCATAACATGTCAAGTGTTCAACTATCACACCTGCCTGTCTGTGTAATTACATAATGTGACAGAGACCGAACTTCGGGCCATAAATCAATGCATTTTGTTTATGGTGTATAGCCTGATTGGTGTTAAGTTCAAATTGCATGTGGTCAGTGATAGCAGCTGTGTATTAAATATTGTCATTAGCAGACAGGCAGGCAGACACACAGGTGTCAATAAAACAAGACATTGAGTTTTGTCTGTGACAACGACATATCTATATCACAGTTAGAAATTCTGTCAATGCTAAATAATGACATTGCTTTTAAGTATCGAACTGAGAAAGTGACTTCGGTAAGAAGAACGTGTGGTGAAATTATATAAACAGTTAATTTACTGTCATAACATATAAAAAGCTCGCGCCTGTGAGATATCAACAAAACATTAGAAAAATAGCTCCCACCAAAGCCTTCACCGAGTATTCACCGGACAACCCGCTTCCAAGCTGCGCGAACCTATTTCACTGCGCACGTGCTATGAGCGCAGCCCAGCTGTTGAAACCCGTTTTCCCCAGAAAAGTCGGGGGAAAATTAGTTGAACGTTTGAATTCCGATTTTGCGCGGGTTTTTTCATCGCGTTATTTTTCAACTTTATAAGTTGAATTTGCATTTTTGACGATTTGTTTCTGTAAGTCCATACCGAAAGGTATCAGAATCTGCAAAGTTGTGTTTTACGTTGCATGTGACCTTTAAGGAAGGGCAGGTTAATCAGGACTCCTCCACAAACAGGACACATTACATCAATGATTACTCCAGTTTTGACGTGTACACTATTGACTTTTGTTGGCATTATAATGATTTGTGAAAGGTGGTTATCAGGTATAAAAAGTGAGCTGCATGTCGACGATTTCTCATTGTGTTAGCTGTAACTTTTACTCCAAGAGCCTACAGCAATTTCATTTACCATTTGAACTCTATTTCATTGAGCTCAGTTTCTAGTCCTGTGCATGTTGTTGATTTTCAATGCCCTCAACAGGGGTGATAACAAAAAATGTTAAGGTTTGTTAGCACCTGTTGCATAGTTTGCTAATCATAGACTGTGAAACGCTGAACACAGTGATTGCAACTTGCAAACATCTCCCAGATTCCAGCATGCCAATCACCCATACATTTTTACGTATATTTTTCATGATGTTCTATTTTGGAAGGGTATATCGTGATCATAGTGAAAGGTTCTGACAGCTTGATTACATGTTTTACATTACTCTATTTTTCATGTTGATAAATGAAGACAATATCAGAACCTTGTACTGAATGAATTCCTGAATGGATTTCTTGTTAATTCAGATTGCTAGCAGTCATTGTGATTATAGGAGAAGTATAATATCTGATTCAACTGTGATATTCTAATTGTTTGCTCACCTTTGTAGTTAAATGAGCTTTATGTCATGCCATGCTTATTTTGTGACTCACTAAATGTTGGTGTGGGCACTGACATCTGCAACGACTATCCTCTCAGAAACCAGCACACCCATAAAGCATAAACTTTCCATGCTTGTTCCCATGAATGATGACTCATGGATTTATTCCAGAGGTTTGAATTTGATTTTCAGCATCATAGTTGTGAATCCCTTTCAAATCACAGTCTAATTGTCTTGTGCCAGCTGTGAAAATTTGATGTAACCAACCAGTTGTTCCTAAAAGTCAAGACAAATCATGTTGTATGCCAGATGCCTACAGGTAGGGCCACTGCTCATCCATTTCTACTCAAAAATGTATTACGTGAAGTAGATTTTACAGTTATGTTTTTCCACAAAGATTTGCAGAGTTGGAAAAAATCTGGACATTTAGGAACTGGTTGTCCTTAAAACATATGTAGAAAATAGCAGTGCTAATAACATCTTTTGTTAAGTGGCTCTCATTTTTGACAATTTATACTGTTATAATGCCATTGCTCGGAAATAATTGTTGATAACCACCCTACTATTCCCAATTTGGAAAAGACCTGACATGCCAGGTTTTATGTGGGAAACATGGGCAGTGGAAGTGAAAGGACTGGGCATTAAGGTCAGGACGGAAGCGGTCAGATTAGGATGTGTCATGTCAATGTCATGCCCACTAGATCTGGACCCAGTTTGAAGTAAGGTGGAATACTGCCGCTTTTGCGCGCTGTTAACGAATTTTCCAGTTTCATAGTTTATTCACTGGGAATAGGGTCAAGAAATTCTTCTTCAAACCATTCACTTCTTACTTCAAATGCATCAAAGATGCTGCCGAGGTAGAAATTGTTGGCGTCCGACATATTTGTTTACAAACAAAAGGGTCAACGAGTTCATTGTATTTATAAACTGTGAATCGGTCACTTTAATTAGCGGTTCTGCCATTTAAGTACGGAATTGATGAGTTCTCAGCCAATCAGAATCGAGTATCACACAATGTCATGCCAGAATTGACGTTTGTTCCACTGTGCAAATTTGGTATATGTGTAGCTTTTGTGGAACACAACATGTCCTGCTTTGTAAAATATTTCAAATGCTACTGTGGTTTCATGTTGCAAAGATCAAATAAAGATGAAAAGTATGTTCATTATTCATCCAATTTAATTTAAACCTGTAGATTATGTAGAGGATATGTGAATATTTTATGAGTAAAGTCAAATCATTCCTGGTACAACCGAATGTTCTTTGTGGAACAGGTTGAGAATAGCTTGCATGAAGACATCTTGGACTGTGGTCTCCAGTTAGCCTTTAGCCTCCTCTTGATTACTACTGCGATCTTGTGTGACAGACCCATTTTGGTTCTGTGACATCCTTTGCAAATTGCATGGCTCTTTTTGCATAGTATGTACATGGATGCATAGTTCTATGTACATGGTTGTATATGTAGTGGTGCATTGCAAGGTATACAATGTAGTAATTGTGTTTTGTACTCATGTAACAAGTACAATGTCATATTTTAAGCATAGTTTTCTCGGGGTGCCATTTGCTGTTTTGAGGAAGACATGCAAACCAATAAACAGGAAATCAATTTTGACTTTTCGTAGACAATTTCTTTCAGTCTCAATCCATTTACCTATTCTAGTGTCTCCTACAAAAGTTGGGTTGGTTTGATATCAGAATCCAGTCGGTTTCATATTGCCTTTTGGTTCCTCGGGACATGTTGCCGAAGATGAAAAGTCTTGACTGTTCAGCACCACAAAGATTTTGAAATATTCACAAAATATTGCTGGCCAGGAGGACCGACTGTAGAGACATAAGGGTGAGTGAGTGACTCATATATTAATCAAATAATAATTTAATATAATTGTGAAAACCCTCATCGTCATAGAGTTTGACATTGATAGTCAACGTTTCTTAAGTGTCCCAACAGGAATGGTTAAACTTTTAAGTTACAAATAATAAAAGCATGTTTGTCATACACAATGTGACAGTCATTCAAACAAACTGGTTACTCTGATTTCACAACCTTGAAATGTTTCAGAAGTTACTCAGAATGTTTATTGGTAATGGTGATATTGATCTACATGCATGGCAGATCTGTTGGTATTTTAAGAAACGTAGTGATGTGCATTAAAATAATCACTGTATCAGTAGCTAGTCTGGCTTGGGACATTTTAGAATCTTTACCATGTTCCAAAATTGCTAACTTGACTGCTGCTGTAGGTGTACAGGTACTACATTTAGCTCCACACGAGGATTAAGGTAATTCTCCTGTTGATTCAGACTTGTTCCTAAAAAGATGTAAGCCATGATCTTGTTCCTATCAACGGTACTGTTTAAAGAACTGGTTTCAATCTGTTATGGATATCGATGAGAAGCAAATTACATACTGTTGTAGCAGACTGAGTATATGATATCAAATTCCTGTCTATTTCCTATTTATTGTATATTTCTAAATTATCTTCATGTGTTCATGTGTTGAATGACAAAAAAACTTACACCTTCAGTGTAATATTTATGATATATTTGCAAGTAAATACAATATTTATGATCCTCTGTTAATTGTCATAACAAGATGTATA